GGGTTGTGACTAATCGGGGGTGGACTAGATTTTTTGTAAGTTTCAGTCTGCCTTAATGCCCGCGATCTTCCGTGTCAGAGCTCCTGAATCTGATTAATTACTGGGGCTTTATGAGCGGAGAGATTTAGTGAGTGAGATGACTGCATGGTATGAGCAGAATAATTCTTCCTTTCCTTCTCTCTCTCTCTCCCTCTAGCCGTAACCGAGCCATCGACAAGAGGCATGATGGAAGATGTGTTAAGGTATGGTCTGAGATCAGCTCCTTCTCCTGGTGCACTGAGCAGTGCTGGGTGAAACAGTGGCAGAGAGCTAGACAAAAAACTTGCCCAGGATTAATTCTGTATTAAACCCACACAATTTCAAACTGCCAGAAGTTGAATGAAAAACAAGAATTTCAGATTTACAAAAATTCCTTTTACGTTTTGTATGAACTGTTAAACTCACTGAGTTTTAAAACATTATCTTCTCTGTAAAACCAGACTTCAGAATGGAAGCCTTTGTTTTCAATAACACTTCAGCATTATCCAATCAGTTTTCTTCAGACTTAGAGGCTCGTTGAAGCCAAGAAATTCCCAGAGAAAGTTTGGAATTTGATTAAATGGTAATTTTGTAACAGAAAAAAACAACTCTATCAAAACATTTAACATAAACTTCGTTTATCAATGTATGGAGCTACTGTGAAGTGCAGAAGCATCTCTATTTTTAGTTTAGAGAGAGAAAGTAAAGAAACACTCCGGCTGTGCAATTTAACATAATACAATGACTTCCATTTCAGTACACTCAGAGTAATTGCAGAAACACCGGGGTGAGAGTAAATTCCATTTTCAAGTGGCATTGACATTTCGCAGCAAAAGTTGCTGCTGCAGGAGGCATTTTAGGCAAAGATGCTTCATGGTGGCATTCACGGTGAAAACAGACAAGATGATAGGGATGCAGCCCACTTCAGGACAATAAAAAACCAGATCCTCCAGCACTCTGCTGTACCCCTGTGCAGGATTTCAATGGTTTAGGCTCCTTCGACTCCTCCAGTCACTCTGGGGCTGCTCTCCCCTTGCAGCTCTGGGGAGAGGGGAAGATGTCTCTTGCACTTTGCTCCATTATTAATGCAAAAGGGAGCAGAGATTAAAATGCTGTTCTGTGACTGTTTCAGTTCGACTGTAGTGGCTACCTGAGACCAATCAGGGGTCGTATGAGCCCATGCACCATGGAGTACATGCCCATGTGTGGCACCAACGGGATTACCTACAGAAACAAGTGCCACTTCTGCAATGCTGTGATGTAAGTGGAGGGCCCGGGTTATGGGAGCGGGGTCTGGATCAGTAGGTGCTCCTGTTGGTATTTAAAGTGTAACAAGGTAGTTTGACTCACGAAGCAGCTACACTGTGCTCATTCATTCTTAACTTGCTTTCTTCCCCAAGGAGCGGACTGGACATGGACCTGAACAATCTTGGAGAATGCGCCAGGGTAAAGAGCAGGAATCTGCACACTGCTGTTACAATACATTTTACAACACAAACTCAATGAATCTTAACTAATTAATAGAAATGCCCACACTGGCCTTGTTCATTTGGCCTGGGAAAAGGATTTGAGGAAAAGAGTTAAAGTATGCCAGTGTCAAAGGGCTTTGACTCAAATCCATGGCTCAGATATGCAGCTGCCCCTCTGACCTAGGAACACAGCAGTCAGTGGGTGCTGACACCTACATTTATCAGGAAACAGGATGAGCAAGAGGTGCTGTCTCATCCTTTCTGCAGGAGAGCAGGAGGGCTGTGTACTGCCAGCACTATTAGTAGTGGTGATTTCTCAGGTGGGAATGCTTTCTGCAGCGTGGCTTGTGACCGTCCACTTTCCGTACACTTGCTTCTGCTAGCCTGCTGAACCAGAGCAGCCAGTGAGAGGGCTGGCTTGGGAACATCAGCATGGTTATCTCACTATTTCATAGAATGGTGTTATTTATAATAGTATTTATTAGATTCTTTGGCCCCTGCCTTCTCCCTGCTTCAGGATGCTCCATGCAAGCATGTTCTCTGCCTCTGAGCTAGCAAAATTGCTAGAACAACAGAGCCCTGCACCTGAAAAGTGCTTTCATGCTTTACCATAGCATAAACATTAAATAAACATAAAGCATCATGTAGGAAAAGACAGGGAACAAAAGCTTTAAAACCTGGTTTTGTTCCATTGTTGCTCCATTATTAGGAGGAGATTGACTGCAGCGAACAGAACGGCGGCAATCTCGTCTGCACCCCTGAATATAGCCCCCTTTGTGGCTCTGATGGCAGAACTTATGGAAACCAGTGCCATTTCTGCAATGCAGTTTCGTAAGTATGGAGCTCACCATATAGCCATGAAACCAGAGGAGCTGGAGCACACACACAACAGCAGCAGCTGGTGTGGAAGGTCTGGAGCTCCTGTTAACCCCTCGGTAAATCCATCCCTGCTCCATGCTCCTCTCACTCCTCTGTCATCCCCCAGGCACTGCACATCTAAAGCCTGAGTGAGTCTTCTACTTCCCTTGCAATTAAATCCAGATCCCCATTTGCAGGCTCATAGCACTGCTGACTCCCTCCCTGACAAAGTGATTTAAATTGTAACTGTAAAAGGTGTCTGAAATTATGGTTTTTTTTTTCCAAATCTCTTTAATGTGAGAAAGCATGTAACCTGGGGAATCGGGAAATATTAAGTGAAGTACTTTATAAGTCGGAGAGCATTGGCTTATTTGGGTAAAGTTAGACTATAAAACTGAGATCCACGTCTGTAATTTTGCTCTCCCTCTTTCTCTTCAGATTGAGCCAGGAAGGTCTGTTCCTCAGGCACCGTGGCGAATGCTGAGCGCTGGAGCTGTGCCCTTCACCCTGATTTTTCCCTTACAAATCCTGAGAACACACACCATCCTCCCTGCTCCTTTGACTGTTGCTCATTGGTCTCTGCTTTGATTGATCAATAAATTAAATGCAACTACTCTCTTTGCCACAGACTGGTTTTTGGTTTGGTGGTTTGCTGTTTGTTTTTTCCAGGGCAGGGGTAATGGTCTTCAGGCTTTTAGGTACTTATCTGTCAGTCAGGAGAAGTTGTGAAACAAACCACAATAAAGAGCAAAGCGTAACACCCATCACACACCAGCCCAAGCTGTCATGCGTGTACGTCACTCCATACCAAACCATCAGAAGAGAAACCAAGCTGCTATAAATTACTGCCACTTTCCCAGTTTCCATGTCTTATAAAGTGAAAATGGTTTTGTCTTTGTATCAGCACTGAGTCTTGGGGGAACTGGTTCTTTTAGGGTCCCTGGCACAGGTGATGTCCCTGGGGAAGAGTGAAGGGGAAAGGTGGCTGTAGTCAGCCCTATCTGTCAGACCTGGGCAAGAGACAGGTCTGGCAGTGTGTTATAGAAAGGAGGCTTATGGCAAAGGGAGGAGGCTATCTCATAGGAAAGAAAATTAGGAACTGCTGCTTCCTTGAAGGGTGTGCCCATTGAGACTGTGTTGATCAGCACAAAATTGCAGCAAGCTGGGTAAGGCTGTAATGAGCCTAATGAGAACTTGAGGAGAAATTAGACTGGGCTCAGGCTTTCAGCTTCTTGGGGAGAGAGATGTGAAAAGTTGTGCTGGGGGTATGTGAGGCAGGGGTAGGATAAAGGACCCTTCAAGAAAAGGTCTTGGATTTACTAACCCTTGAAAAGAAGGGCCAGAAGATGTGCTGGTAGCTCCAAAATGCTTTCTATCTTGGGAAAAGAGCTATGGAGATAACATCTCTGTGAAGCCTAAAGGGTGCACTGGAGGAGCAATGATATATGTGAATGTTCATGATGATGTGCCATCTTTTTGGGTGACTCAAGCTGTTAATAGGCAAACATCCCAGGCAAAAGGTCTCAAGAGCCACAGCTCACACACTCCCTTTCTCCACCTCCCATTCTCTTGATATTTAGCAAGAATATCTGCTGCTAAAGCTGATATTTAGGGCAAAGTCTGTGATTTCTAAGCCTTTTCCTTAGCTCTTGTTTACTGAAGTAAGAAACAATCTAAGTATCCAATGGATGTGAACACAGAGATGGCAAGACATCTCTCATCATTTCTTGTTGGCCATGAGGTTTATAAAGTGGCCACAGACTAGTGGAGTTCTGGTTATAGCACAATACTTTTTTCAACAGCAAGATCCTATGATGAACCTCCTCTGCAGTGGTAGCTTTTGCCTGAGGAAGACAGACACTGGCTTAGGAGCTCAGAAGACTTTGGAAAAGCCCACACAAGAGCTGCTCATCTACTGGACAGGGAGGGCAAATGGGTATGTACTGGGTATGTGGCTGTATCCAGGATGCTTTGAGAGCCTCTAAGCAAGAACTCTTTGGAAGATGGAAAGGTTGTACCACATAATACTTGCCCAGCACAGTAAGTGCTTGGCTTGACACCAGCAAGACTGCCCAGCTACACCCCTTGGCCTGCAAAACAAGGTACATATGCCCTTGTCCGTTCCTGATTTCCACAGGAGTCAGAGGAACAGAAAGATGCCCTCACCCATGCCAGCAAGTAGCCTGTTTCAAGTGCTGTAAAGAAGTGGAAAGGGGTAATAACAATAATCACCTGGTTGGTAATTTAGTCTCTTCCTTTCCTTAGCATGGAAGGGATTGGTCCCTATGGTGCGTATGCTGAGGCTTTAGCCACTCGATTACACTGCAGCAACTGAAACGCTTGGGTAGATAAAGGACTGAGGTACTAAGGCTGTGGTCGTGAGCAGTGACGTATGAAACGAGAAAAGGCAAACAAGTAGTGCTGCGAGCGGCAGAACTGAGCGTGGTTTTGAACGGCGCTGCGGCTGACTGCCTTGATAACTAAATTATATGTGAGGCTGGGTCGTGAGCTCACCCTTAATAGACATCTGAGAATTCACCTGTCAGTCACGGTTTCTCTGCTGTGTGGGTTTTAAGATGTCTAGCAAGCTGCAAAGTGTAATGCTTCCCCAGGTGTAGACATTCATAACATTGATCTCACTCAGAATCTCTCTCCTTTGCTGGCTGAGGATGTTACTAGCATCTTTCCTCTGTTGTTAGAAAAATGTCTTAGAATGTATTTTTTATTTATTTTCTTTTTTACTCCTATGGTTAGAATTAGTTGCAGATTCAAAATTCGCTGGGGAAACTAATAATCAGATATATCTAGACTCATTGCTCTCCTAAGCCTTGTCTCCTTAGGCAAATATATTAAAATTTAAAGCTTATTCTGATCTGGACATATATTTTGCAAATAGTGGAGCTGAACACAAATCCTCAAGCAGATTTGGCTGGAAATAGATCTCCAGTTTCCCAATTCCCCATCAAATTCCCTGCATTGCTACTTGCTGTGGGAGAGGAGCCCTAACATATGTTTGTGAATGCGAAAAGCTGGAAAACACTGACAGCTAGAGTTTAAATAGTTCAGGGGGGAGAGTCAGCAGTCCTATCTGGGACTGTGCACACAGCTATGAGAGCATGTCACACTGGAGCGCTTCTCCACCCCAACCCAACAAATTTAGATCCATCCTCAAAAATAGCCAGGGAACAACGTATAATTGGTTTCACAGACAACACATTCTCATGGTGTGATTTATTTCGTAACGTCTAGTGAGTGTCATCACGCCGCACTCAAAGCCTCAGAGCTGGCATTCAGTGAGGGCCCAGAGAATGAAAATTACCAGCTTCCCTGATGAATCACTGCTTTGAAAATTCACCCTTGTGAGAATCCTGTGACTATTTAGATAAAAAAAAAAAAAAGATATTACAAGCCCATCTATCACTCATATAATTATCCCTTTCTAGGTTTGATGTGGACAGGGCAGCATTCCTAAAGCACCATAAACAAGGCCAGGACCAATAATGGCTTTAGAAATGAAGTGGAGAAGTTCTCACAATTAAGGTGGAGAACGAGGACAGCTACGGATGGGAGCATAAATACACAGAAAGGCAGGTCTGTGTGTGCACTGTGGCCTCCAGTGCTGAGACGACACCTCCTGCATACATTGCTTGGCTTGGACTAAACAGCTACCTGCAGCATGAAGGCAACAGGTGCCTTAGTGCTTCTCAGCCTGCTGCTGCTCTCTTTCTTCTCGGGTAAGTGATGTTTTCCCTAGCCTAGAAAAGAAAAACAGATCCCAAACCTTTCCTGACAACATAAAATTTGAGAGAGCCTTCATCACCGGATGACAGGCTTGAAGATAAAGCTGAGCAAGTAGAAAATATCTGCGGGACTTGCTCACTCATATGACATATTTCCGCTCCTCATGTGCCTCCGCAGTGAATAACGCAGTGGAGGTGTCACTGGGAGACACAGCGAGCAAATCCTAAGCTGCTCTTTCAACAAATGTACTGAAGCAGAGCGTAATGATGCGGGTTTTTTTTTGGTGCAAATGTTCACTGGAGAGTTTTGCTGAACCAGTTAGAGAAGAAACTCACTCACCTCAGGGTCATCAGCTCTTGTTTTGATCCTAAGCATCTTGGTACTGGTGTTTTCCTTGGAGATGTGAAAATGTAATTAGATGAAAGTTTCAGCTTTTGCTTATGTGGCAGAGAAAAGCTTTAAAATTAAATTTGAATGTCCTCAAGGAGTCAGAGCAAAGAGGGCAAATTAAAAGGAGCCAGCATTTATTTATCTGGAGATTTACACATCTCGCTGATGATCTGGGGAAGCTGAGTGATGGTTTTTGAACCTATAGGTCACGTCAGTGTTAACAATTACTTATGTCCAGCTGACCCAGCTCTGCAAAGTTTGTGGTGACAGTTATTGAAGAGCGTGCAGAACAAGAATTATTCCTACTTGTTTTTCTGTGAATAATTTGAATAAAGAATTCACTTGAGAAAATGGCAAGCTGTGCATGGAGAAAAGAGATGAATTACTTTGTACACATTATTCATTATGAAATATTCATCTGTCTCTAATTGAGTTTTAATTGGGTCTGGGTTCTGTCAGAGTGCTGAAGCTTCCTTCCAAGGCCAGGCAGAATAGCAGCAAATTCTGTGATCTCCTATAAAATAAACAGATGTCAAGAGACATCATCACAAAGTCTTCTGTAGCCACATGTAATATTTATAAAAACTATCTAATGAGCTATTTTGTAAATAATATGCAGATAGCCATAACAGTGACTTTACAATTAAGCCAGCCCAGCCTAACCTGGGGACATGATAAACACACCAGCACCAGGGATAAAACATCAAAGAGCAATACAATCAGCAGAAGTCAGGTGGGTTGATGGGTGATGATGTTCTAGCTGACTGGGTTGGATGGGATTTCCAGTCTGTGGGAGCCCAACTGCAGGACAGCTTCCTCCCATCTCCTGCCCAGAGCACCATCACAGCGGGCAGTGACCTCACTACTGAATCTCTATTCCTGTGTGAGATGCTGGCTATTTGTTCCCCGGTGTTGTGACCCAAATTCTGCAAATCTGCATCAACCCACCCTTGAGCATCAGGCTTCCCCTTAGAGACATGGTAGGGTTGCTCAGTCTCACAACAAGGACTCAACATATGCATCTGGCTGCAGTCTTTGCAGTGCAGAAATATACAAAGGATGAACTGATTGGCTTCAAGCCCAGAGTCTTACAGTGTGTATTTTTGCACTCTTACTGATCAGCAATCCCTGTTCTGCTCTGTATCACCCCATGACATCTCTTTGTATCTTGCCCAGGATGGACTTGTTTCTGGGAGAGTCTCTGGGTTGTGCTATGCTGAGGATGGCTGGAAAGCTGAGCATGGGAGGGGGTCTCCTGCACAGTACCCTCTCATTAGCAGTACCAGCCATTTTCATTGTTCAGAGGTGCAGGAGCTTAAAAGCCTTAAAAGTCAATACAGCTTTAAAATCTCTGTTGAGTGCGGCTCCAGATCCGATATGGCAGCTCACTTTCCCGGGAGTGGCTGCCTTCCAGGAGATTGGGTTATGTGTCTGAGGTGCAGTTAGCAGCTGAATGACTGATTACATGGTATTTTAGTAACATTTTTCAAAAAAGCAAAATACTGAAAAGCAATTCAGATAATGCATTTCCTGCCCCCTCCTCCGCCGCACCAAATGACAGAGTAGGAAAAACCTGGTGTGTGTTTCACTGTTTGCATAAAGGGTTTGTGGCTTTAGTTCACCTCCATTAGAAAATAATGCTGAAATGGAAAAATGTCTGTTTGTTTTTCTCTTTTTCTTTTTTTTTTGTTATTGCAGATGTTGCAGGTCAAGACATTGAAGAGGTTAGCGCAGTTCTCTGCTTACTGAATCTGCACTGTCTGGAGGAATGGGTTTGTAAGATCTTGGTGCATGGTAAAGAGGTTTTAATATCTGCTGGGAGCAGGTGGGTGCTTCCAAGAAGTTCCAACAGTTTGGGGAGTTCACCATTGTACCAGAGATGTTATGTGTGGCCACATTAGCAAGTAGGTGAAGGAAACAGATGGTTGGTTTAGCAAATGCTTCTCATGATTAGGTCTAGGGTGCTTGCACAGGGTTGTGTTTATACACAGCACCACTTTTGTCTGCTTTGCTCCAACCTTCTCATGAAACAAATGGACCATTGAGAGTGTTCTACCCCTCCAAACAAGGTCCAGACACAAAGTACCTGTACATTTCATGGACACAAGTTTTGATTTCAAATAGACTATGGTTTTATTCTCCTTTCACTGGGAAGGCAGAAAGCTCAGCAAGCACCACGCTGAGTGATGGTTTCGCAAGGTGCATGAAGCCATACAGCATTGAGCTAACTTGGCGCCAAACGCCCGAAAGAGCATCTGTGCTGACTCCTCTCCTACATGCCTAGGCTAATCCACTCCTGTCTTCAGGAGATCAAGACTTCTCTCAGGTGACTGCAGTTTCCCTCCTCAAATATGGGGCAAAAGTTCCCCTGAAACACTGCTTCTGCTCCTTTCTGACAGGGCTTTTTCCCTCAGTAAATAGGTAGTGTCATCACTGATGCTTTAGTCCTTTTGGCAGAAAAGGCATTGTACTAGTGACCTTTATCCAATGTGGAAAGTGAAAGAAAGACTATGCGAGTCCTGCAAGGGTGCTTTGTTATTCCTTTTGCAGATTTGTAGAGAGTTCGTAAACAGAAGCGTGTACTGCACAAGGGAGTCCAACCCTCACTGTGGCACGGATGGCATCACATACGGAAACAAGTGTGCCTTCTGCAAGGCAGTGCTGTAAGTGGAAGTAGAGGGGATTGAAATAACAGAGAATTAGCTCCTTCCGTGTCTGTAATGATATTCTTTATGGAGGGGATGCCCTGCATCCACACTGCTCCTCTTGTAGGGATCAGCCCCTGCATTGTGCAAGTAGAATATTTCCTCCTTGGAATGAAGCTGTGTGAATGCAAGTTAATTTAAATTCATTTCTAGGCTTTGCACGCTGCTGGTTGCCATGCTGAGAGGCAGCACGGGGCCTGGGAGGCAATTGCATCCTGCCTGTACCTTCTGCACACACTAATTTGATGCACATTTCCCACTATATGCCACGGGCTGCAACTCTCACTGCCCACTCTTCTGGATACTGAGAAGTGTTGGGAGGAATGCGGGAGCTGAGCTGTGCCAAATTATTCCAAGAAAGTCTGAATGGACTTTGTGGAACAAGACATAAAATCTCAGTGGAGGAACCTGAGCTCCTCCTTTTGCTGAGCTCTGTCACCTTCTAAAGAAGATGCAATCAGAGCCACATGCTTGGACTGAATGTGCTTGAAAAATATTGAGTTTTCCTTAGAAGTCCTTAACTTTTGGTGCACACTCAAGGCTGCCTTATCCTAGGGGAAATCTGAGAGGAGTAAGGAGAGGAGAAAATGGCTTAATGTTGCCTGTGAGGCACCAGGGTACACTAGCATGAGTCAGGCAAATGGTCCTGTTCAGAGGGATGAGCTCCTCGTCCCACACTGCTGCATCTGTCCTACACTGCTTTGTCTAAGACTGTCTTGCTCCTTTACAGGAGAAGCGGAGGGAAAATAAGATTGAAGCACCTGGGGAAATGCTGAGTCCTCAATGTCACCGAGCAGCAACAGCCACAGACACCTGTTCACGGGCAGGAGAGCAGCTTGCCCTCATCTCCGCCATCTCTGCTCAATAAAATAAAGCTCAACGCAATTCTTTGGCTGGATTCCTTTTTCTGCAATTCCCAGGAAAGTGCTTTGGTAGAGCCATGCTGGAGCCTAATGCGTGGCTTTGCTATACCATGGTATTACATCACCCTCCTCCTGGGAAGCAAGGCGCTCCCTGTGCCGGAGCGGCGATTCCCACGGCTCCCATGGGCTGTGTCCTCCTGTCCACAGCAGTTCCTCTGTCCCATCCTGCCTGGCAAATTGGTACACGCTTGCTGGACAGCCAAGCAGTGCGATCACCTCAGGGGTTCCTGCCCAGCTCTCCCCATCCCAGCGGGTGGGTGACAGCGGGTGCCTTTCTTCTTTACCCAGCCTCCATAGACATGTTCTTTCCTCTCTCAGAGGTTATTGTGGGAGGGTGACAGGAGAGCTGGTAAACAGCGTGACTGCATATGCCTCATCTCCTTTGGAAACCAGAGACAAGCAAGCTGAGACTAGGGAATATTGCTCCATTTAAGCCTGCAACAAGAAGATGGCAGGTGGAGGCTGGTTTTAGGCAGAAGCTGCAAGGCTCTTCTTTCCAAATCGGTCTCTTTCTTCTTCCTTCTAAGAGAATGCTTTGTCTTGGAAGCTGAACTCACCAGCATTAATTTCCTGCAGCCATTGGCTTCTCATGCTAATAAAATTGTATTTACAAGAGCACTAGATTGCATACAGTGTCAATAATTAAAAACCCCCAAACATATTCCCTGGAGAAGAGCTGTGGGCTTCCTTCCCCACCTCTGGAATCAACTCCCCCTTCATCGTACACAGACCCTGATTTTCCAGGCACCAGTATTTGTATTTATTTACAGTTTTTAATGCAAGTAGGCTTTATTCCTTTCTTTACATTTTACCATGCTGCCCTCTCTCTTCTTGGTGCTGGCTGGAAATTCCTCCTTTGTGCAAACATGAGAAAATGAATTCTATAGTCTCTCCCCATTCACTGAGCAAAATTCACACAGGGAAATAGTTGTGGCATCCCCTTGTTAAAACATTGGCAGCAGATCAATGGGACACCAGCTCCTTCATGTTAAACACTTAACTTTCAAAGGGAGCTTTAGATTTTATCATGAGCCTCAGGGGTCAACATCTTTTGCAAGCACCTAAATGCTGAGCATCTAAACCTCTGGACCTTGTTTGGACAGAGCTGGAGTGTTTGCCTATCATGCCACAATCCAGGCTTTGAACTCAATTGGTGCACAATGCCTAAAAAGAGAGGTCTTAGCAGTGCTCTCAGCACACCTAATGCTGGCTTCTCTTCTGATATTCACATTTGTGATGCCAATTCTGGCAAATCCTTTGTCATTTGGTAACTTTACAGGCAGGATGCAGGCGGCAGTGGTTAAACCACGCAGGCAGAATTCCATGCTGGCTGGTTTGGAGCTTCTTTCGGACCAGCTGTCTTTGATCCTGATGCTTTTTCCCATCCCAACCTACTGGATTCTTGCAAAATCTTCCATGCTCTCTTGGAAGCAGACTTACCATCTCTGTATCACAGTTGGTACAGCCAGGGGAAGTACACCTGCTTGGTTTCACATTCAGATGTTACAGTGGTAAATTCAACAGCAAGACATCTGGAACATGGATGAGATCGAGGGAAGCAAGCAGCATCTCCTGCACAAGGACAAATGGCCGTGAAGGACATGTTGGGAAAGAGGAAGGGCCTTCCTCTTCCCGCTTGGACCAGGATGACCTCCGCATGTCCTCTCCTTACTGACCTATCCTTAGGTGATCCTACTATGTTGCATGGCTCTGGATCAGCACCATATTCAGTGTACAGGAGCAAACCCACCCCGTTTTTAAGATGAAAAGTGACATTTTAATGAGTGAGGGGGTATGGAACATCTTTACGTCTGAGTGGCTCACAGCATATTCCTGTATCTAATCCATTTTAATCTGGAGGAGGCTGAGATAACAAGGACAGATCACAAGAGAACACAAACTCCAGGAGTTCACTACTTGACAACCATCCTGCATTTTGCTTTTCAAATCAAATAGCAAATAATGTACCTCTACAGACCCAACTGCTATATCCTGCATCTGTGCCAGGGAAGTGGAGAATGGGAGTAGTCTCCTTTGAGGAAATTAATTCCCCCAGTTGGGAAAACTTCCCAGACTTCCTCCTCAGGAGAGGCCAAGAGATTTCCTTCCTTCACCTTTTAAATTGTATTGGGTTTTGTTGGGGGTTCTGACAGCTTTGAAAGGTGAGTGAAAGATAACTGGATAACAGGATAACAGGAGCATCTTCACAGCTTGTTCTCTGCCTAGGGAGGAAGGGGCAGAGGCTGGGGTGGGACCTGCCCCAGCACCTCAGCCACTGCCCCTTGCAGCAGAATGAGGGCCCTGCATTCCCTGCGGCTCACTCAGTCCCTCTTGGCAGTTAAAATAATGGAAGAATTCAATTTGTGCATGGTTGCCCCTACTGAAAGGAGCCATTGCTCACAGCTGAGCACCCTCCTGTGACCGGGCTATGCACATGGCAGAAGGGGAAGGATGTATTGCCATCTCACAGCTTCGCTCTGCCGGTGATGCAGCTGATAGATTACTGTGTCCAGGCTCTTGGCCCATTTAACTTGTGTGCTCCACCACTTCCTCCTCCTCACCCAGCACAGGCACGTGTCACTGTCACAACTCAGTTGAGTCCTTTGTCCTACTTTTTTCCCTTGACATTCACAGTGTTTGACAAGGTTTTTCTAGCTGCCATGGGATGATCCTAGGGTGGTGGTGCTGAATGCAGGGCTCCCACAGCCCTGCTGAAGAGGAAGCTCTGGACTTGGTTATCATTTTGCTTCACCCCATTTTCCCTAAGAGAAGGCATGCTGGGTCAGGTTGGGAGGCATTTGGTACAACCTCCTGCTCACGCAGGGTCAGTTGTGAGGTCGCATCAGGTTGCTCAGGGCTTTATCCAGCCTAGAACTGAAAACCTCCCAGGGTGGGGCATGCACCATCTCCTTGGGTTACCTGTCCCAGGGTTTCACTGTCATCATGGTACAGAAATTTTTCCTTGTATCTGGTTTCAATCTCTGTCCTTTCAACTGTCTCATCTCCACCATGAGAGCCTGGATCTGTGTGCTCTCTAACCTGCTTCTTAACTGGCAGGCTCCTCCTATGCCCCCTGCAGCCTTCTTCTCATCAGGCTGAACAAGCCCACCTCCCCCTGCCTCTTCTTGTGGAGCTCCAGTCCCCAGCTCTTTTGGTGGCTTTTCACTGAACTTAGTCCAGTTTTTCATTGCCTTTCTCGTACTGTGGTAGGGCCCAAAACTGAGTACAGAAGGGAAGGCTGAGCTATGGGGACATGTAAAAGGACTGCTCAGAGAGTAGCTGAGAGAACTGCAGAGTATTGCAAGGGACTGAAAAGATGTAGATGGTGACAGCTTCAGGGAGCAGCAAGACAGTGTCAGGTGTATTGGGTCCTTTAAGGATTAGGAAGCAGCTGAGCCTGCTCTGGGGTGAAATGGCTCCCAGATGCTGGGAATCTGCCAACAGTTCCCCCACCCCATTGCTGCTGAAGTGCTTAAGTAGGAGCCCAGGAGAAGCATTTGGCTGTTAGGCTGACTTCAGAGCACAGAAGGTGAGGGGTTTGCTTGTGCTGTGAGAGTTTTGGTGTTGTGTTTTTTTTTGGGGGGGCGGGTGGCGAGGTTTTTTTTGCTTTGTTTAGTTGGGTTTTGTGTGTGGATTGTTTTGGGTTTGTTTTGTTGATTCCTTTCCCCATGGCCCCTGCTGAAACTAGCAGTGTGTTTTAGGAACTCCTCATATGAGTAGCTGCAGTAATTGTGGCTGATGATGGTGTCTTATAAACCTGCTCTAAAAATGCTGTGGAAGGCTTATAAAAGCACATGGAAGACAAGAGCTACCACAATACATAAAGGGAAAATGGGGGGAAGCACAATAAATATCCCTGTAGAAAGTCAGGTGCCATGTAAAGAGTTGCTTGTTTTAAAGCTTTGACATTCATTGTGTATGAGTGATAAAAGCTTCAACAAGGTCAGCAGAAACTTTATCAGAGCAGGGCTTTGGAAGAGCCTCAATCTGAACTTAAAAGATAAGGTTAAAACTGAGCTTTTGCTGGGCCTGGAGGGTTGCTCTGACCAACCTGAGGCTGGTCCCAAGCAGTGGCTGCAGTGCTTGTGGTAGGGTTGGACCTAGTACCCAGCTTGTGGAGCAAGGGTTGTGGGGAGCAGTGGTGCTGTTCACATTTCCGACCTAAAATTGCTCAATAAACTAGGAGTGAACAGGAGCATTGGTATGGTGGCCAGGGCTGGCTGTGACACTTGTGGCCTTCTTCCCAAAGAATGCCGTGCTTTTTGGGAGGGTGGTTTCGTGGAGTCACCCGTGATAAAGCCATCAGCTTCCCGGGCCCTGCCCTGTGACCCGCTCTCCTGTCATCCCCTGCTCCCAGACGTACCCCTAACCCCTATTCACAGTTACTGCACCCGGAGAACGCTCCCGCGGTGCCGATGACGATGATGCAGGCGCTGGGCGGGGCCGCGGGAGCTCACGCCATCCCTGGGGCGCGGGTACCGCCCGGAGCTGCCGCTGGTTCCCGGGCGCCGGGCGCCCTCTTGCGGCCGCTCTGGCGGCGGAGGGAGCTCGGGTCCCGGAGCGGGGCCCAAAGCCCCCCCGTGCCAAGCCTCGGGAGCAGGTGAGCTCCGCTGGATGAGCAACCCGCCGTCCTGTGGTCCCCGCCCTCTGCGGAGGCATCACCCGGCCACAGAGCATCTGCGACCTGTTGGAATTTAGGTTGAGGTGCCCATAACAGGGCTGGGCACAAATAGTGACAGTTATTCACCCTCACAGACTCAGAAGTTCCTTGTATTGCAGCACCCATCCTCTTTTCAGGTTGGGTGTCTGCATTAGCCTATTTTTGCTGAGCACAACAGCTGCTCTTGCAATGAGTTACACCAAGAGATCCATGCAGGGAGG